GTTTTTTTTTTATCTTTTAATCTTAAAATTATTAATTTTAAATGATAATTCTGCGTAACAGTTAGTATTGAAAACTGTTTTATCGAGGTGACATTCAACATCTGAGTATGATACTTTTTTCCTTAAAAATTTTAATAACGTTTACCGCTGCATCACATGGAGGTCCAAAAAAGTAGGGATTAAAGTCGACCTTATCATTCGAATTGAAAATTTACAAGGAATTACTATGTCCTTTCAACGAATTAACGGATAAGGTCACCGGCCAAAAAAATAAAATAAAATTAATGGATAAGAAGTACGATTGCGATTCCTAAAACTGTAGTATTCAACAAACATTATCAGAATAAAATGTAGACTTGGAATACAATGGCTCAACTTTCTAATTGCTCCCAAAAAATACGACACTATGTATGTTTCAATCAATAAGTGACAGCTGGTCAATGGCATGAGGAAAAATTTATGCGACATTCTGCAGGGAAATTTTTGTTCATTGCCCATGAAGAGGGCAAAAGGGGTATGTAGATATTTAATAAGAATTTTTTGTTGCTGCTGTGAATAACTATAGCCGGATAGGCGTGAGACCTGAGCCTACATATGTGCCCACTTAAGCCCTAAGGGCTTAGAGAGGTGTTAGTATCAGTTTTCAATGTATTCTTACCAATGCATTTTTTTTTGTTAGAAACAATTTTATTCAAAACATTAAGCATTAAATATAAGTATTTTTCTAATAGAGATTTAAATCTTGACTTGCGATGTTACAATGGACCAGCCCCTTGGGAAAAAACAAAAAAAGAACTTTATGGTTTTTCATTTCAATCTCAAAAAAAAAAATCATTAAAGAATCAAAACTCAGAATAATCAGGTGCCGCCCTCGCCTTAAAATCAAAATTTGTGCAAACAGCCCTGCTTGTTAGACCGTTAAATCAATTTTACTGTCTCAAACCCATCCACATAATTAACCAAGGATTATTACCTAAACTCATACTCTTGTAAAATTAAACTCAAAAGAGTGACTAAATTCAATAGAAATAAAAGCTCATAGCAGTGAAGCTCAACCATCACATGTAAGATTTGAAAGTTAAGGACTTAATGGATGAGTATATATATGATTCTCTTATCCCTCTTCTAGTTCCAACGTGTAAGCCCCCCCATGACAACCATCATATCACTAAACAACAATATGAACTCTTCATTCATATAGCATTCTACTTCTTTGTTGCAATAACGCAATTCTAACTTAGTCTTATTCATCTCTTTCAGTCCCTATTTTCACTATAATCACCCAACTAGATCCACATTAAGAGGATTATTAGGAAGAAAAAAGGAATATCAAGTGCTTAATAAATTTTGCAAAATAGTATATAAAATGAAAAGTTTTTAAAATGTGTCTTGTAACTCAAGACAAAAGGAATGTAATTTTGGCTAATACAAGAATATTAATCGAAAATATAAATAATCATATATTTTATAGAATATTCAATAATAAAATTGAATTTCCTAATTATAATGATAATTTCTTCATACTTTATATATACTCTAAGATCTTCAAGGATTGAAAATAAGTTTTTAGCATATTAATGTCAGGCCCAATTTATTTTCAGTATGAAATCTTTTTTTCCAATTAAAAGGGCAAAAATTAATAACATAAGATAACAAATAGAATCAAACCCAATTATAGAAAAACTTCTTAGGCTATAAGACCATCAATACTATGAGATCTAAATTCGACCGCATGTCCGTTGTTTCCCGTCTTTTTCGGCCGTTACCTGTACTTGGGTTAAGCCCAAGTTTGGCTGAAAGGGTAAGAGTTAAGCCCAAGTTTTGCTGGTTCCCTAGCTTTTCTTTGGGCATTTAAAGTGTAGTTGTTTTATCACGGAGGCCTATCGAAAATGATTAATTTCTCACAATATCATAAATTAAGATTTAAATTTTTATTAGAAGAGGGATTTATATTTAGGACCCAATAACATCTCATACAAAATTGTTTTTATTAAGGGGATACATATGCTTAATATAAAAATATAATTATTTTTTCGAGTGAAAAATATAATTGTAAAACCACATGGGAACCACCCAGTAGTTACCTCACTTGGCCTCTTGACCAAGTGGTGGGGGTTTCTATCCTACTCTTTGACATGAAAAGCATCTTGTGAGCAACCGTACCCTTAAATGGAAGCCCCGCGACAAGGGGATTAGTCACAATCATCCACGGAGGATGCCCTGGTGTGTAAAAAAAAAAAAAAAGTAATTTGTTTTCCTTTAGTGGAAAAAAAGCCATGGAATACCATCCTACATTCATGTACGTTTCATGTTGATACATAATGTTATACAACGAATGGACAAGACATACGGATTGATAAACCAGAGACTAAACGTATTAGTATTGTATTATGCCACCGCCATAAATAATCCCATAACAATGATGCTTGGCTTTAATACTAAATTCTAGAACCTTTAATCCTCCATGTGGATTCAATCTGCTACAATCATTTCAAGTTTTGTTTTGCTTTTTAATGGCTTCCTTTTTCCCCCTCCGCCCAACTTTTTTGCTTTTTGGGATGCAAAGGAAGGCAAAAAGAAAACAAGATAAAAAATAAAATACTCTTCCAGTCCTTAATATAAGACCTATTTAACTAATTTGATTACATTAAGAAAGTTAGGTAAGTTAGTTAATTATAAGAAATGTTATGTTTTTCCTAAAACACCATAATCATCTTCCTTAATATCTCCTATCTCTTTTCTACTTGATTATGGTTGAGGAAGTATCCATAAAGGTAATTTAGGAAAAATTGATAAATATAATAAATAGATCTTATATTTGGAACCAAAATCAACTAACAATTAGGTCCTATATTAAGAACTAGAGGAGTATTAAAAATCAAATGAGTCATATTGATCCAAATATGATTAAAATAATGTGATTTAATTTAAATATATAAAATTTTTTCTTTATAGTATGAAAGGAGTCATATTTAAATGAAAGAAGGCATTATTTGCGGGTAAACAGACCATTCAAGTATAACATCACATAATTCAACAAGCAGAGCTACTAAAACACAAACCACAAATTTAATGGGTTGTTATTTTTTCAACTTAAAACAATGTCATTTTCAGCTCCAAAAAAAGAGCAAGGAAAAATATAAAAGCTGACCATTCAAAAATTTTGACTAGAGTAGCCACGAGATTGGTTCACCCATTTATCAATCTTACCAGTCAATCTGAATTGAGTTATAAGACCATGAAAAAAGCTGTAAAGTCTATGAATAATAAAAAGAAAATGACAATAATCCCATTTCAAAAGTTGGGCTTTCAATCCACGCGGAAAATTTATGTCTTGTGTGAGGGTTCATCCACCTTCAACCGGTTGAATTATGAAATTGTTTGAATGAACTCTTGGTAACATCTAGGCATTTACAATTATTATAGGAAAAGAGTGGTTTTTATACCAGAAATTTCTCTCAAAAATTTTATCGGATTTTCTCTCTTCATGACATTCCCTTGCAGTTTCTCCTGCAAAAACAGTTGCTAGAACACTCAAGATACAATTGAACAGAAAATATAGACATGGTAGTATTGGCAAGAAAACTTTCTCATGGAAAGAAAATCTAAAAGAAAAGTATGAAAAATTGTACTACTTCCCATACTATTTATAAGATCTCGCTTGCAGTACAAGACATACACAAGAGAAACTCTTTTATAAAAGGCTTCCTCTTTTTTTTGGATAATTAAAGGCTTCCTTTGTTACTCATCCTATTTGTCACTAAAATACTTACGTAACAATATTAATTTTGTCATATGCATATATTTTTTATGTTTATATAACAACATACATACATACATAATTTATTGTCACAATATTTGTTACTGGCAAGAAATGTAATATATAGCTATTATATACAGTATTGTCACACAATTATTCATTTAATCATCTCATTTTGTTTTTTGGTTCTTGAATATTTTAGAGGGAAATTTGAATTTTCTTTTGGAATATGTTGAGAGGAGGCTTTTCCTAGACAAAACCGAGAGAGGTTTGATTAGTTCTCTCAATATTTAAACGCAGTATTGTGAAAGAATAAATTAATTTTTTAAAAAATAAATAGAAAGAAATTACCTACACACATTGTTTGGCTCAAGGGAGGGAAGGAGTCTTGGTAATATTTTCTAATAAGCAATGAGCAGTAAATTTAAAGGACGTCAGGATCAATTTAATTTTATTTATGTTATCTAGAAAAGCAATTTTAACTTTTAAGATATTTGATTATTATTCGTACAAATCATGAGTAAATAAGTTTCATTTTCCCAACAACTTACCACTTGTCATTTTGAAAAAGCTTGGAGCCACAAAAGAGAAAATGCAATGCTCACTCATCCATCCATAATGAGCCCGGCACCAAAGTGTGCCCTTTTTCGTAGCCTCCCAGCTCTAAAGTACATGAGGCTATAAGCACCTAAAGCCTACAAATGCAAATCAACTGACCCACAGTTTCGGTGTATTTATGTTTCGGTGATTGTCTTGGTGGGATCTAATTCAGAAATTTGTGTGTGTAAATCTTAATGTAGCCAATTGTTAATGGAAAAGTGGTTGAGTTCCATTTTTTAACGCGGCTGGATGGGTCCTGTGTCTTCTGTAGTCACTTTCAGACAACCCATAGCTTTTGGTTCTCTCGCAAAAGAAAAGCACATGGACGTCTTTTTTAGATTGAATACGTATAATCAGATTCTTAGAATAATAATTTAATAACTTGCAGGTAACTATCCTCAACTTTCTCTCTTTTGTGTCTGCCAAATGTTTGTCGTAATGTCAGCGAGAAGGATTATTATAGCTTCCTCGGTTACATGCCTTTTATACAAGGACGGTTTAAGAAAACCATAGAGCAAATCATTAGTAAGAGCAAACCAGGCTACTTATTAAGGATGGACCCGCAAGAACCTTATCATAAGTTCCAATGCAAGCACAAATTAGTAGTGCCAGATATGTTCAAGTATATACTTGATGGTACCTACCTATTATTAGGCAGACATATGACTCAAAATAAGGCTTTTGTTGTAAGCAATACGGTGTTAGTATCTGTTACTGATCAAGTATAAACACTCTGGCAATCCCAAACTCAAGCTGTCCTCAGATGTTGAAAGCTGAGGGGCATGTGAATATCATCATCACGACCATGGTATGGTCTATGATGTACAATTGTTGGCCTTTTAGATATCAAACTTGGAGTTCTTTCCTTTGATGCATTCTTCTTTATTAGAAGCATTCCATTTGTTTGAAGAATAGTGTATTAGTCTGAATTCTCCCTGTTTTGCTTATATTGTAGGATTTGGCAAGTTGAGCATGGGCAATGAAATGGGTAATAACAACACGACATCTGCTCTCAATGGTATTTACTTTGTTATTGGAAGTATTGAATTGAATATGGTGAGGTAGAGTTCTATACTTTTTTTTCATTTGATTATTTTCATTCTTGTTTTCACTTATGCAGAGGAAGATAATTCAAGCGAAGCTGAGAAAAAAACTTTTAATGAGGAAGTGAGAGCAGAGAGCAAGGAAGGAGAAAGTCAGAAAATCTCTGCTGCTAAAGGCAGTGATGATGAAACAAAAGCTGATGGATTGGCTTCAAATGATAGGAATGAACCTGGAAATGAGACATTGAAAGGCGATATTCTTGGAGATGGTAAGAAGGGAGAGAATCAGACAGCCCCAACATCGGAAGCCAGATGTCAAATAGAAGAAACTGCAATGGCTTCTGATGATGCAATAGTTGAACCTGGAAAAGATACACTTGAAGAAGACAGTCATGCAGATGATGTAAAAGGGCCAAATCAAATGATCCCAACGGCTGATAATGAAAATGTTGAAGAGAAAGCTAGAGGATTGACTACTGTTGAATCGGCGATCATGCTTGAGAATGATTCACCAAAAAGTGATACTCATGGAGATGTTGTAATCGTAGAAAGTCAAATGCCTCCTGCAGTTGAAGTTGAAGATGTTCTGAATGATGATAGGTCACTGGTTTCTAATGATGTGCCAAATGAGCTTGAAAATGCCATAGAGGAAGGAAATGCCTGTGAAGACGATAAAAATGGAGATCATCAAAATCATCCATCCACCGAAGGCGAAATTGTCCAGGAAAAAGCTGCAAGGATTGATTTAGATGACAGAACAATTGAAGTTCAACACGAAACACAAAAAGAAACTCATTATAATGATGAACCACGTGAAAATGCAATGGATCCTATTTCCAGAGACTCGGATGGTTCAGGAAAAGCTACCAACTTGTCTTCTGATGATCAAGCTAATGTCAAAGATTCCTTTTCCGATTCAGGTCAGCAGTTTCTTTTTTATATGCCATATTTCAAGAAACTAACAAATATAAAGTATCTTAGTTTAATGAATATTTGGTATTCTAATCTGCAGGGAATCAAATAACTGAAATCATTCAACTTGAAATGTATCCAAATGCTGGAATGGCAGATAAAGGAGCTGAGAACTGTAAAACCCTGTCAGAGTTTTCGTTGAAAAGTACTGAAGAATATGACGGGCAAATAGATCTATGTAAGGATCAGCCTGTTGCATATGATCACCACCTTGATGAAGAGTCTTCAATAAAACAAGGTTAGGCCGCTCATAGCCTTACCCCATCATATATGACTACATAACATGTTACATCCAATTGCTGAAAGTAAGAATCTAAATTATCCCTTGTAAACATGAATACCTTATGACCTTGAACTACGTTGCTTATAATTCCTGCAGAGGAAGAGAACACTGTCGTTTCAACATCAAATGATGTAGAACTTCAAGAATCATCACAGATACATTCTTTGCATGTTGAGTTTGGTGAAGTTCTTGAAGAACCATCACTTCAAGGCAGTGAATCACTGAAAAGAAGTGATCTTTCTGATACTGATACCCTCCCTTTAATGGATGATGATATCAGTTCAGATAAAGAAAAGGACAGCCAAGAAAACGTGTTATGTGGAGTCAGCTCTGAAGGCGGAGAAAGAGATGAATCAGGAAGTAGAGAGAGACGTGCTTCGGAGATAACAGATAATTTTTCTAGCATCAATGAAAAGAGCGATTGCAGTCTATTGGCCGAGGCCAATTGTATTACCGATCATTCTGTGGATTCACCACCAGAATCCAATGATATGTATAAGGGACCACTGTTTGACAGTGAGAAAATGTGTAAGGAGCTTCAAGAAGACAGAAAATCGAACCTAAGAGGATCAGAAATGGAGAATTCACAAGATTTTCAGGCTGACATCATCAATAGAAGGTCTAATGGAGAAGAGAATGTAGTTCTTGCTGGGGTTGTTCATGGGATAGGCGAAACAGATCAAGTTGAGGAAAAATTTACTGAGAATGGACACCGATTTGATGCGTGCATTAATAACAACACAAATTCAAATGAAATCAGCACTACTCTAGTTCAACAAGGTTTTATGGTTCCTGAAGCTGAAGGAGATGGACTTATCCCAGGCCCAGCAGTTGTAAATTGCAGACCTGAACAGGAAAAGAATTATGAGGAGAAAGTTCTTGACGAAATAGAGAAAAGGCCAGAGGCTAAGCCGTTAAAAGACTCAGATGGGAACGACATGTCAGAACAATTTGACTCTCATCTTTTAACTTCAGGTCAAAAAGAATCTCAGACCCTGCAGAATTCTTGTTCTATGTTACCTATACCTAGACATCAAGACGACAATGTCAGCCAAACCAAGATCTTTACTTTTGCCAACCTGCAAGCTTCAGATCACCAAGAGGGCAACACTGATTCTTCAAATTTGACCATGCCAGCTCTGGACATCGTCGATAATGAAGCATTCGAGAAAGAAGAGAAGGACTATTCCCAACAAGCAGAAGCAACATCACCAAAAGAAGCAGAAATAACAACTTCAAAGGCCAATCTGTCCGGTACACCGCTTCTTAACAATCCTGTAGTTGCAAATGGAGGTTATGAAGTTATGGAAAGTACAACAAGGTATAGCACGGAATCAAACCCTGAGAATCCAAATATCTCTTGTCTGATGCAAAAATCTCCAAGTTTCAATCTCAATCTCCGAATAGAAGCGACAAAAGAAGAATCGGATCACATTCCGTTGCTTCATCAGGGCAAGACTGCAACCGAAAGCTCGTCAAACCAGAGCAATCTAAATCTTGAGCCTTGCGCTGAATATGAACGAAGCATATCTCTGCATGAAGAAATGCCAGTGGAGGAGAAAATAGTGACTATGGAAAGAAGTTACTCTGAGAAATTCCATGCCCCATTCTTAGGTCTGTTGAAAGAAGAAGAAGAAGCTCATCTTCTAGTCATGCCAAAGAAACAAGAAAAACAAGATGGAACAGTGAAGGAGGTGAAAGAAATGGAGTATGCTTCGCCTAAAGGAAAAGAAAAACGCAAGCCAAGGCCTTCGCTCTTCAGCAGCTGCATGTGTTGCATGACTTTGACAAACTAAAACACTCATATACCAATTGCTTATGCGCCTGTTTCGGTTTTTCTGCTTTGTGGTGCTGAGTTCTACTGCTGATTGACTTCTTTTTTTCTTTTTCAGTCTTTTCTGAAACAGATTTTACATGTGAAATTCTGAAGAGATATTGGTTTGCAGAATGGTGAGATGAGTTAAGTTTGAAGTTTTTTGGGAGACATCAAAAGGTGGGAAGAAGAGTGGGGATTTTATTACTGAGGCATCTTGTCTTCATATCTGTACTAAGAAGGAAATGCCATGTTTGGTACATTTACGAAATTTATGGTTGTTTCATTTTAAGCGGTGCTTAGTTTAACCTTTTGGTGGCAAAAAACAAAAGTTTTACCTTTCACCGGAAATATTGGCTTCCGTGGAGCATTCTCTCCTTTCTTCTTCTCCAAATCTTCCGTCAGCCACAACCATCGTCCTCATTTCTTCCTTCGTACCTTCCTCTCCGGTGAACAGTAATCGCAGACGGGTGGTCAACGGCCTCTCCCTCGCCGCCGCTTGCCGTGAAATAATTTGGTATATATAGAGTTATATAGCCCTCTTGTCTCACTTCAAATCCACTTTAATTTGCTTCCCCCCTCCACCACCACCATCAGGAACAACAAGCCCAAGTTCTCACCTTCTTCCTCCTACACTTTTATCAATTTAAACACAGATCATTTCCTTCGGTGTTAGCCAAACCAACCTCACCGATCTTGTGAAGGAGAAAAATGTAGAGACCCTGCAAAATCTTGGTAGTGTCCATGGCGTGGTCTCGTTCCTAAAAGACGACCTTAATCACTGGGATCGTCATGACCACCGCCTTTGACTCCATGGTCAACGTTGGTTTCTAGAACAGAGTTCACGCCATGGACACCACCAAGATTCTGCGGGGTCTCCACATTTTCCTCATTCCCGAGATTGGCGAGGTTGGTTTGACTAACAGTAAAACAGTGTAGACGGAGGGAAGATGACGACGACTTAGAGCTGCTCTTGTTGATGGTGGTGGTGGTGGGGGGAAGCAAACTGGATTCGAGGTGAGACAAGAGGGCTCTATAACGATATATATGGAAAAAGATTATGAGAGATAACAGAGAGACATTGAAATGCAGTGAGGTGAAGAAGTGAAAGCTTACACACAAACACACACATATATAGGGGAGGCCCCCTGGAGGCAAGTGATCACGTCGAAAGGACGAATTCGTTGCAGATCCCCCCCCCCCTCTTTATGCACAAGGAATAGTGTTTTATGCACAAGAACATCGTTTGAACTCCGAGGCTTCGCAGGAAGGCTCCGAATGAAGTTGCGGGTCTCTCACGTTTATAAAATACACAATCCGCAAACTCATAAACCTTTTATTGGCTTATACAAGTACCCGGTCAAAAAATTGGCTGATATAAGCATAACATCTAATTGTTGACCAAAAAAGCTGGCAAAAAAAAAGACAAAAAAATCTAATTATTAATGTCCACATGTAATTATTAACTGAAGTCTTCAATGCATGAGGAATTAATGACAATTTGATCATTATAGAGTATAAAGTATAAACTTCAATTTTTAATTTCTGATATATTTCTATTTTAACAGACATAATATTACAAATACTACATCTTTGAATCTCATATTAACGCTTAATATATATGTGTGGATAATTAACATTAGTTACCATTTCATTATTGCAATTAAACTAGTTAAATTTAGAAAGCTTTCAGTAGTAAAAGGAAATCGGAAAATCCAAGTTACAACAAGCTTAGAATATGAAAACGATTTTTTAAATTTAATTTTTTTAAAATAATAATAACTGTTAAAAATGATTCTTTAATATTAATGGTGTTACAATTGAAAAAAAAAACAGTGTTAGGATTAGAGACTGAGAGGAATGAAAAATAAGGACTAAACTAAAATCTTATATAAAGTATAAACTTACGGATGTACTTTTGCCAATTGTTAATATATTATCAATTAATATAATAAATTTTGTATTTAATTGTAGTACTATTCAGAGTTCCAGATTGATTTAATTGGATCCCAATGTTATCATATAATTTTGGACCGAACTCTGCTACGGATTCATCCATTACAATGGAAGATAGTATAATTTCCACTTCAATTAAATAAGAGGTCAGGGGGACAAGTGCATGCTCTAATCTAAAGTTCTTTTATCAACAGGAGTTGGATCTTACAGAAGAAGTTAGTCTCTCATAACGTGATGAATCAAAATTCAAATTTCTACTGTAAAAGATACCCACATTTAGTAGCTAAAAGTGTTTTGAACATGATTATCTCTAATAAGAGCATATCTATGCCTATCAAAAAATAATCTGAAATCTTCTATACTCACTCTGTCAATCTCTCTGTTCTCTATATCTCTTGAGTCTTAATCTCGTGTCAAGTCAATTTAATATTCTTCTAATTCTTAATATAAGATCTACATAATTAATTTAAGGATGTGAAAAGGGTCAAATAAATTACTTAATTATGTAATAAAAATCAACTGATCTCTCAAAAAATACTTCTAAATAATCTTAAATTATATATTAATTTATAAGTTAAGTGGATTAAATGAGAAAAAAAGTGATAAATATTAGAAATAAAATGCATAAAAAATCCTGTATTTAAAATCAAAACCAAACTCCTTATCAGCGCTCATAACTGGTGCATTGATTTTTGCTTCAAAAGGTCACTTGGGTTGGTCTTAGCACCGCCACACCCCGTATCCGAGTAATACAGTAGTGTTGACAAATTATGAGTAGATTGGCTTTTAATAAATTTCAGCACCCAACTTATCCTTAATATTACCTATGATCCTTAATGTAAAAAATAATATGAGATTTAATTTAGTATTAAATATAAGACTTCAATTTATTTTATTTTTTATATTTATCTATTTTTTAAAGATAATCTTTGTAGTAGTTGCACATATTAAATGTTTCATTAAATAATAATTTTAACTAATAAACATGAATAATAAGAATATTTTAAGGAAGATAATACCTATTTATTAAAAATATCTAACTTAATTAATTTTATTAATTTACTTAAATTAGTCAAATAATTCTTATATTGAGAAACGAAAATAGAGTATATATAAAAATATGCAAGCATACTAGTAAAAAGTCATGAAAAAGTGCAATCCGTTACTTAAAGTTAATGTAATATATGGGGAAAAAACAGTAATATGACGTAAGAAAATGGATAAACCTACTATATACCTCTAGCGATTCTCTATAGATAAATCAATAAATTCTTTAGCAAAAAATAATCAATCAATTCAAATACGTAATGCACTAATTTATTTATTCAGAAAACCATGTCCATTGAATCACTCGTTGTATCTCATTAATGATTAAACCTTTTTTTTTGCCATTTCATTAATGATTAAACCTACAACGTAGTAAAAGCATATCTGATTATTAGTACGAGAGTATCTTGGAAAACATGATTGATTAATTTATGTTCATTGAATCTACTACTATCTTCTTTAGCGTTGTCATAATTAAAGCATAGATTTATGCACCCCGCAGAAGAGAATTGATAAAGCTGTATGCTAAGATCATGGCCACTTCATTAATGCTTTCCCATTAATGCTTGCCTCTGCTTGGACCACAAAGTTAATTAACCTTATGATTTAATTAATTATGCTTAGTGTTCACAAACTAAACTCCGCCTATATTGTATAGCCGGTCCCAAACCCAGAAAAGAGGAGGGTTGTGTTAGGCCCTCGACAGCTAACGTAAAAACCCGTCGAATCTCATGAACATGGATCAACGAAGTAATTACACTAATGCTATGTCGTTGCCCAGAAGTGACGCGTTGTATGGCTCAAGTACAGTGAGAAAGGAGTTAGAGCCGCTGCATCGTTGCCCGGATGTAGTGTTAAATGAGTGAGGGCTACCGCACTCTCTTGGACGGATGCGGCTAAAGAAGTTAGTTCATGAGACTGAGATTAGATTTGGCACTTTGAATATTGGGACGTTGAATGAGAAATCTATGGAAGTAGCAGGAGTTATGAGGGGCAGAAGGATTAATATCTTGTGCCTCCAAGAAACCAAATGGACTGGAGAAGCTGCCAAGGAACTTGGAGAGTATAAACTTTGGTATACAGAAAAGGTGAGTGCAAGAAATGGGGTTGGTATCATCGTTGATGGAAGATGGAAAAGAAACGTGGTAGAGGTTAAAAGCTTTGAGGACAGAATAATATCGTTAAGAGTAATTGTTGGAAAAGATACTATCAATATCATTAGTGCCTATGCACTTCAGGTTGGGGCAAAGACACACCTTAAAGATAAGTTCTAGGAAGATATGGAGGGGTTGGTTCAAAGCATACCACTCGAAGAAAAAAATTTTATCGGTGGGGACCTTAATGGACATGTCGGTAAGGAAGCAGGACAATTCAGCGGGGCCCATGGTGGTTTTGGTTTTGGGGAGCTTAAAAGTGGAGGACAATCTATTCTCGACTTTTCTCTTGCATATAATCTTAAGATTGTCAACACTTGTTTTAAGAAGCGAGAGGAGCATTTAATCACGTACAAAAGTGGTGTCTCAAAATCACAGATTGATTTCTTTTTTGTTAAGAATCCAGACAGAAGATTGTGTACTAATTGCAAAGTGATTCCAGGAGATGGGATGACTGCCCAATATAGAGTACTTATTCTTGATGTACGTTTTAAGAGTACTAGGCAAAAGTACCATCAAGTGGTAAAACCCAGGGTTAGGTGGTGGCAGTTAAAGGGTGAGAAATGAAAGTTATTCAAAAGGACCCTTGTGGAGGAAGGGATTTGGGAGTCGCAGGGAAATGCAAACATGGTGGGAAGAGATAGCTACAAGGGTTCGTTTGGTAGGTAAAGAAATTTTGGGAGAATCCAAAGGTCCTGATCAGAGAGATAAGGAGACTTGGTGGTGGGATAAAAGTGTGCAAGAGAAAGTCAAACAGAAAAGAGATTGTTTTAAGGCCATACACTGTGCAATAGTGTAGAAAACGGAAAAAGTAAGTTGGCTAAAAAGAGACGAAGAAAGCAGTGAGCGAAGCACGTACTAAAGCTTATGAAGGGTTTTATCAGGAGTTAGGAACAAAGACGGGAGAAGAGAAGAAATATTTACAAGATTGCGAAGCAAAGGGAGAGGAAAAAGAGAGATTTGGACCAAGTAAAGTGTATAAAGGATAAAGATGGTAAAGTGTTAGTTACTGATGGTGATATTAAGGACAGATGGGAAGCTTATTTTTACAAGTTGTTTAATGATGGAGCAATTATGCGACTCAGGACTTATAAGACTTGCTAATTAACGAAGATGGTCAGAATTTGGCTTTCTACCGCAGGATCCGTATCGGAGAGGTTAAGGCAGCTCTC